TTTTCCATTGTTGAACTTAATTGCTAATTTTTTTTTTCTCATATTTTTCTTTTCAATTAACTTTGGGGGGTGGTAAAATTAGATTTTGGATTGGTGATGGAAAAGTGGAACAAATGGTTATGGATTCGGAAGATGAAGAAGAAAAAGAAGAAATGCTCGAAGAATTGAAGAGGCCAAAAATTCTCGAAGAAATGTTAAACCAACCACCACCTCCACCTAGAACACCCGAAGATATCAAGCGTATTCATGATGAGTACAATGCGCTTAGTTATGAGGCGAAGGTTCATGCGGGCTGTGCTTTGGGCATTGAAATACCACCATTAACGTCGAAGGAATTGTGTCGCCTTGAAGATGAATATGAAGCGCTCATGGAGGAGTACGAAAGTGAACCACACGTGCTCCCGGAAAATTGCGATCATGATTGGGAATGTGATTATGAGACCGGAACATTACGTTGTTCTACTTGTGGTGAAGAATATGAGGAGTAATTTTTTTTTATTACGTATGTATTATGGCACGAACGTTTAATCAAAGTTGGAGTAAAGCGTATTCATGATGTAGCAATGTATTAATTGGATATTAATCAAAGTTGAGTTTATGTATCAATACATTTTCATATTTAATAAAACAATACATAAAACAATGATATTAATCAATGTGGGGATTACACAACCAATCAAGGATAATTAAGATAAAACAATACATAAAATAAACTAACCATGTAGAATTAAGATTACATATAACATTTTCATATTAAGATTAATTAATATTACCACGTAGAATTTCCTTGCATGTTTCCCACTTAAACCTTTGACCCATTTCCCTCCTAAAGATACGTCTTGCTTCCAAGTAGAGAGTTTCTTCATCCATGTTCAGGACATTACCATTCTGAAGTCGAGTGGTAATTTGAATGAACTTCTGTATGTTTTGTCGAATGTTGCGCAAACGTGAAAACAATGAAGGTATAGTTCTGTTTCTTGATCCGGTAATTTCCCAAAACGAATCCTGTAAGTTGTATTAGAATGTTGTAGATGTTTGTTGAAAATATTCCCTTGCATTTCTTTCTGTGCAAACAACGTAAGCTCTACACAAGCTTGTGTCTTCCTCAATCGTAAACCTAGTTGTCATTGAAAATGAATTTAGAATTTTTTAAAATGAACTTAGAACTTAGAAACCTTGAAAATGAACTTGTATATATAGGTAAAATAGAGCCGTTGCATTTGCATTTGAAATTATAACCGTTGCGTTTGAATTTGAAATTATAGTCGTTGCATTTATTTTTATACTTGCTTTGCATGTGAATTTTCATTTGAATTTGAAATAGAGTCGTTGGATTTGCATTTGCATTTGAATTTATATATAGTTTCTTTTTTCATTTTTCTTCATCTAACATGCTTTTTTTTTCTTAATCTTCTCTAGTTTCTTTTTTCTTAATCTTGCAATGTCAACTAGAAGGTACATAAGTGATCTTGCACCTAGAAGAAGAAGTGAAATTTGGTTTTCCGGTGAAGATGACTTTGTCAGTGATGCTTGGTTGCAAACACCAAAAGAAGCCGGTAAAACAGAAGATAAGTTTTGGAGAAGAGTACATAAGGAGTGGCGAGCATTGAAATATTATCATGGCACCAAACGACCTATGTCCATGATTCGAGTCAGGTTTGATATAATAAAGAAGAATATCATTCGTTTTGAAGATATTATCTTATATCTTGAAAAAAACTACAAAATGTTGGATACAGAAGTACAACGTATTAAGGAATCCTACACATTTTTCAGTAACAGTCATGAAATTGAGTTTGAATGGGAAGGTTCTTGGAAGAAGCTAAGAGAATTCATCTCTACATTTAAGGTTGAACATGAAGAGGCACATAATTTATATGAGTTTGGTTCCCGGTTTAGATGATCTTTAATTTTACCAGTGATTAAATGTACTAGTTATTATGAGCAATGCCTCTTGTACTTTAAGATGTACTATGTTCTATTGCTTAATATTCTTGCTAACAAGGTCAAGGATGAGGGAACTTCTTACAACAAAGCTTCCTCTTGGAACATTTCCTGTGAAGGTATGTGATATACTTTTTGCTGGTTCTACTGAAATTCAGTACATTACTTCTATTATTCCTGCTTAGCATATGAAAAAATTGTATGAACTTTTTACTTGCTAATTTGCCAATACTCTTTTATGCTGACAATGAATTGATAAATGAAAGACTTTTATCCTTATCAGTACCATGTTCTTTAGTTTTTGTAATGCAGATTTCTTAGTTAAATTTAAACTCAACCTCTTTCACCATTGTAATGCACTTCTCCGTACATTCTATTTCTACATTGTTTATATAAAGTCCTATGTATGTACATTGATTTGGAGGCTTATATATCCAATTACAATTTACTAATTCAGCTAATGATACCTGCCACATAAGAACAACTAATTCGGCTAATGACACCTGACACCTGTTACCTTTATAACGGCTGATATTCTCAATTATAAACAAGTCAAATTGTTGGCTTTAACTCCTGTCATATTCTTTTTAGTTGAGTAACATAACTGTCACATTATAGTTGCTAACATAGCCATCATATTGAGGTGCAGGTGAGGAGGCTTTCAGCCTGTCAGACCATGGGGTCTGCCTCAACAATTTGCAGTAATAAGACTGGAACATTGACCTTGAATCAGGTTGTTATAATAAATTCTTGGGTGTTTTGGTGAAGCTGATTTCTTTGATCTATTTAACTTTAAAATATATCCTCAAATTTATCTAATAGTAAAATACTACCTTTGCAGTTAATTAATTTACAGCATCT